ACTCGAAAGTGTTTTTTAAGATAATTTCAAAAGAACACTTCTATCAAAACAACAACACACAGGCATACATACATATAAACAAATGCGCTTAATTGCACTGATTTCATCAGCTTATGTTAATTTAAAAGACAATACGAGTTTTGTTTATCATCGTTTTTGTTATTGTTGACATGGCGCTACTCAATTTCTAGTGCGTACACACATACGTACATATGTGGAATTTCCGAATGTACGCTTATCGGCTGTTCGACTCAATTGTATTAAGAGCGAATGTTCTCAGAACTTCGCGAATCATGCTAGGGAGGTCGGTATTTTGGAATGTTTGCTGGCTGATAAAATAGTATTAGAGGCATGACTATTATGAATCAGCTTGTTTTTTGGAATTTCAAATCATTATTATTTGTTTACAAGAATTTTGATAACAATGGTGTTTACAAATTTTGTATTCATGTTTGTTGCTCATTATTATTATTTTTTTAAGCCAATCGTGCATTAAAGCGGTTTCAAAATCAACAAAAAAAAAAATTATATCTTTATGCTTGTTTATTAATAATTTTTTTTTTTTTATTGTTGCATGACCTTTCAAGACAATCGGTATTGAGTACATGCTTGAGATCGCGCCTTAAAGCTGTTCTAGCATAGAAAAAGGTCTGCTCATAACAGTATCAAATATGATGAAATAGTCCATGAATAATACTCAACAGAAACGGGAACCCACACCTCTACAGAACCCACCTCTAACCAACCCCACACCTAACCTTAAGTAAGATTGTGAAATACCTCAAAACGTTTTCATTCAGCCATGGAATCATTTGCAGCTGTGGAATTTTCAATAAACTCTTTGTTGCTTGCACTGAAAAGCAAATCGCAGATATGTAGCATCTTATACTATAATTTAATAAATGATTTTATTATTCAATTGGAGAAAAGTACCGTATAAAAGTTCATATAGTTTGCGCTGCTTGTGGCCTATACGGTAAAAATTACACTTAAGTATTTTTTTTATTGTTTGTGGCAGCAATTGTTATTGTGTTTAATTGTTATTGAAGCCTATATAAGACAACAGCTGTGAAATGGTGTATATCATATAATATTTTTTTATCCAATTGTTGCTTACTCTCACACCCCTTCATATGAATACCTCGAGTGCGTATGTATGTACGTAAGTATATACATATGTACATATATAAAATTACAATTTTTCTATTTCATCATATTTCGAAAGTGTTCCATACACCGAGTACTATAGTATGGCAAACTGGTGTTAATTTCTGACACTTGTTATTGTGACTTCTGGCTGAATGGACGGCTGCGACAATTATTAGCAAATATAGAATAAATAACCATACAACATATTTTGATATTTTGAAAAAATATAACTTTTTAAATAGAACGAACAAAGAAATGCATGACTATAGTGGGAACTATATTTTTATTCTAACATTCGAATTTTTAATATTTTTTTAACGACAGTTTTATGAAAATTGTTTTAAAAATTTTTGAGTTTTTATTTTTGGACGGCAGTTTTAAGTTAATTCCACGATTTTTTTTAGGTTTTTTTTCAAAAGTTATGTTTTTGAAAACTAAATATTTTGTAAATCCTTTTTAAGGCTTTTTAGCTAATCACAGAAAAACAAATATTTTTTAAACCCATTTTTAAAGCAGTTTTTAGTAAGTCACAGACTTTTTGCCCATACATATTCAGAAACTTATATTCGAATTTTTTTCTTTGTTTCAATAAAGCCTATCGAAATTTGTAGCTAAGTTATGATAATAAAGAAAAATCTAAAATATGTACAGTTTATGTGACTTAGTGCTGATTTGTACGGAAACTTATCAGTAGTTATCCACAAAATATATTTAACGCCAATAAAATCCTAATTAAATCATTTTTGGCCCCATTATTAAAAAAATATTAAAATTTATTAAAAAATGAAAAAATAAATAAAATAAAAAATCAAGACTTTCTAACAATAAAACCACCCTAACCAACATTTCCGCATACACACAATTATTCTGATCCTCAATTATATTAAAATGAGCGTTAGCTGACCGTACTAGCGCATTTCCTCAACAAAATCGTCATAGCTTCAATGTTGCTAACGCTCAATGCTTCGTATACATTCGTATTGCATTCAGATGCATCTCAACATTTCATTTTGTTTACAGAAATGCTACGAACAGCAGCCGAAACACAGCTATAGCTGAAATTGTTGAAACTTACGCACTACGCACGCGCAACTGTACAAGATATTCGACTGGTTATAGAAAGCGCATGAGAGTGTGTGAGAGGAAAAAGCAATAGTGATGCTAAATAATTAGTGTGTACAGGCGTAGGCAACTGCAATTGTACCTTTAACTATATTTTTTCAATAAAAGTTGGAAAATTTTTTAATGCATTATAAAAGTGTGTTGAAAATTATTTTAAAACAAGTTTTTTCATATGGAAATCAATGAGAAGTCTTATAGGTTTTAAAAGTTTGGTATTTTATATAAAGATTGTACTCTAAACGAAGTATTACTACGTATTATAAACGATATTTCTATGTATTTTATTTAGAAAATTTCCTTTATTAAAATACCCCTGAATAAATTATTAATTATTAAAAAACCCTTCAGAATCGGAGTATTTTTTATAACTTTTTTGCGCTATTTGAAGAATACTAGGCATTATAAATAGTATTTCTATTCGCTTTATATTGAACATTGAAAATACCCTTAAATAAATAATTAATTATTAAAATACCTTAAAATGAGGAATTAATTATTAAAATACTCTTTAAAATTACGGTATTTTTTAATTTTATATAGAAAATCCCTTTATTAAAATACCCTTTAAAATTACGGTATTTTTTTATAATTTTTTTGGTATTTCTATTATTTTTGTATAGAACATTTCCTTTATAACAATTCCCTTAATAGTTCCGTCATTATAGTAAGTTCACCTCGGAATTCGAGATACCCCGCTGTATGTAAATATTGTATATTGACACCCTAAAAGTTGTCTCAAAACCTACATATGGTAGGGTGTATCTACCAGACTTACAGCTGGGTATCTCGAATTCCGAGATTCTTACCTAATTTAAGCTTAAATGACTGGACTAAATAAATAAATATAAATAATATATAAATAGATAAATAATAATTAATTATTAAAATACACTATAAAAACACGTTTTTTGTTTATAAAAGTTTTAGGCTAATCGAAGTATTGCTAGGCATTATAAATGATCTTTCTATATTTTCTCTGTGTAGCCACCATTTCCTCCATAAAAAATACCTTATACTCGCACATATTTATGCATAAAAACCCCAAATTATGCTAGTGAGACATTCCTTAGACATACTAACAATTAGCTTTAATACCATCAATTCCGGTACGATTTGATTTGACTAAAATCCAAAACAACCATCATTAACTAGCAAGAACATGAAGCCACCGAGTTTGTTGTTGCTACTGCTCCGCTTCAGCCAGCCACATGTTGACAAAGGAATTTTGCCCAAAGTCAGTCATACCTGAGCACAACAAAGCAGCATAGTATTGAAATATGATGATGACCAGCAAGCAGCAATATTAGCAGCACCATGATATGTCCTGAGAGCGTGCTCTTTCACACAATGAAGTACACTAAATAAGTACGGCGTAAACTGTACTCAAACAAACATTTCACATTTGGAGGCAATGCCAGCGTATGATTGCTTGCTTTGAGGGTTGAAATGTGACGAAATTTGAAGTTTGGAGAGAGTATGCAGAGGCTCCTCGAAAACGCTATGGAAATGTGCATACTGACTGCAATAACAGAAGTTCATAAAATCAGCATTTATGGTACGCTGTCGTTCCGACGGTGTGTCGGTATGGGGATGCTTTATTAGGGTATTGATAGGCGAGAGATACGACAATTTTTTTATGTTATTAATAGTGAAAGGTGTTTTTGAATTGTTTTTGTATTTTACCTTGAAAAGGAACTTGAAGGTTAACTGATGCGTGGGGTAATGAAGGTTTAATGATGATACGGGAGTAGAATATGCCCATATGTTTATGAGCCAAAGTAGTGACTAAATAGACATGTAAGTATGTAGGTAATTATTGCAATTTTTGATGTAAATAAAATTTGTAGCCATTCATGATTTATCAATATGAAATGCAAAACAATGTACAATCAAAATAAAATTGAAAATCGTATTCAGATGTAATAACCAATGTATAACCATTTTATAACGAAAACTCTAGTTTTGTTTCACTATGAGTGTATGATAACGAATATACTATAACTATTTTATAACCAAAGTTCAAACTTTGTTTCAATACTAGTGGCTTCTATTATAACCTTTTCACTTCGTCTGCAAACTTACGAAAAGTGATTTCACGTTATTTTGTAATTTAAGTGCCGACATACTAAACCGTTATAATTTATTGCATACAATTATGAATATTTTGACTATTTTCAAGTAATTTTGAAATCATTTAAGGTCATATCTTTGTATTACTTACCAATAACAGTTAATTGCTCATGCTGCAGAATGAATTTTTTTTAATATTAATGTTAAAAAATATTGTATGTACCTTATTAACCTAGAACACTATAAAATTCGAACTTGGTACAATTGCTTCAAAAGGGCAATACCTGAAGCAATACTCAGAGCGCGAAGAAAACCCTCTCACACAACAGCAAGAATAAAAATATTACTTGCATTTATTTACTTGAAAAAAAAAATTGTATAGGAGAGGCCCATATAAAAATACAACGTTGAGAAGCAACAACAATACTTGCGTATTATACAAAGAGAGTGCGAGTGAGCGCGTATATATGCATCATTGTTGTTCAAAAGTACCACCATAATGTAAAATGAGAAGTATGAGCTGTGAGAGAGCGATTAGGTGCATACGAACAGCTCAGCCAAAGCAAAAGAGCTGAAGAATACAGCAAAACAAATGCGTGGAAAGGCAAAAGATATGGAAGTCCGTCGTTTTCGATCGACTTCGTTGACGAGGAAAAATTTTTCAAAAATACGTTGCAGGCGGTGAAATGATTCAGTTGTATTTCAGCGAGTGAGTGCGTTAGTTGTAAATAAATATTTACTTGTGTGAAAGCCGTGCTGGCAAACGAGCAACGACACAACATTATTATTTTTTATATTACAAGAAAATTCAACAATCTCGATGTTGAGATTATATTTGCCTTCAAAGCAATAAATTTATATGTTTCTGCCTGCATATAAACGTGTGTAATACTGAAATTTGCTGAAATTGCTAAATTAATTTAAAAAAAACTAAAATATTTTGTAATGAGTTGGTAACTCATGCAATAACTCAAAGAAAAAGTGAAGTAAATCGCCAAAGTAAAAGCATAAAAACAAAAATGTCGTGTATATAAGAGATACGTAAAGCAGGCGATAAGTGAAGAAGAAAAGAAAAAGTACGTAAATAAAGCATAAGCTGGTGATAAGCCTAAGTCTGTACACAACTGAAGAAAAAGAGAAAAGAACTTATAAACTCCACTGTGATAAGTGCACCCAAAATTGAACTGTGACATTTTCTAAATAAGAACATAAAAATCAAGAATACATATCAAAATGGATACCAGCAACAGTGTTCGTGCGCAAATTAATGAAAACCACTTAAATGTGATAAATTACGCGCCACCCTCACCTGCCTCGTCGCTTAGCTCCGAATCCATGGATGTTGTAATATCGCCAAACAGTCCTTGCTCGCCTGCAACCACACCGCGTTTGCATAGAGGCGGCCATGACAGCAGCAGCAGTAGCTATGAACACTTCTGTACGCCCAAGAAATCGCTGGCGGATTCACGTGTACTAGAACGTATACGCGAAAAGCTTGGCACACCCAGCACTCTATGTGAGATGCATGCGCTGCGCCCGGAACAAAGTCGCGAGGAGGAGGCGGTAAAAGTGGTTAAAAATCGGTTCCTAATAAGCACACAATTGTGCTACCTATCACCAGCAGTTGCTGCACGCACACCCGCCTCCTATCGTCATCTAATCGATCTCAAGGCGTCTAGCCTCCGGTGCACCGATGTCTTCACGGAAACCGAATACATCTGCAAGATTATCAACGAGCCACATGATAAGGTGCAACGCGCCTACTATGACATCAAGACGGCAGGGGAAGTAGCGCGCAGCTCTTTGTATGGCCATACATTGATACGGGATATACACGAAATTGTGCCATTGGATGCCAATCGTTCGTATCTGATAATACCGCCACCAAAAGCGCAAGAAGGTGCCGAGGGTGTTTACGAGGATCTGCATACGTACGTAAGGAATAAGCGACGTTTGCATGAAAATGAGGCCAAGGCGCTGTTTCATCAAATCGCCGAGACTGTGCGTTTATGCCATCAGAAAGGTGTTATCCTGCGTGATCTGAAACTGAAACGTTTCTTCTTCATTGACGAAGCAAGGTAAGCGAAATTCAAATTCACTACTTTTATAACAAATTAAGGGGGTCGCAAAACAATAGAATGCTCTATTTTGTTAACAAGTTAAGGTGGTTAGGAGTCTAATAGACACGTCTATTGGCCGGATACATTCCGGTTCGCTTCCGCTAACGAAGAACTGGCTGTTGTCTTGAAGGCTGTTTCCAAGACCGGTTTATTAACTGACTAAGCGCTGCCAACTCGGCAGCATATTACGACAATTTTTTCAGAAATTTTTCTCTGCCGCTTTAACAAAAACGATTACTCTAAGGTGTTTGTGTGTTCTATCGTAAAATCCGCGTTTCAATTTTTTTTCGAGGAAATGGAGTTTTGCTTCTCACATAAATTATTTTACGAATTCAACTGAATTGTTATCTTAGGGAAAATTAAAGCCTATTATCAGCAAAATATACTATCAAACTCTGCGTAGTATTAAGCAAACTTGCAAAAGAATGGTTATTACAAAATTGTTGCCAAACCTCGATTTGCGTTTCTGTTCTTCTATTTAACACCTCTGCTTCTAGCAACACACCCTCCCACCACCCAATTACGACGTTTGTACACATTAATAGCTCGTTTACTCTGTTTACTTTACAGAAATTCTTACGAGGGTATTGTAAAACATTGACTCTCGAGCCAACATGTGAGAGCGCTCAGCACCATCGCTATAGCGACGAGGCGCTCTCACAGCAAAGCAGCCATTTATACGTATTTTTTCGTTTACGAGCTAAAAACCTTCAGTCTCCGAAAAAATAATAGTTAATAATAATTTGCAAGCCGAAACGAAAAGTTGAAATCGACACAAATTAGCAGCGTAAAAACTCGTTATTGCCATTAATGCGAGCAAACTTGACTCGCGTTGGCCGCGATAAACTTTGCCGAACGCTCACTTGTTGCTCCAAACGCGAACGCCAGACCGAACGACTCACACGCATACGCAATAACATTGAGTACGTTATGTTGGGTGAGGTGGCGGTGGTGATGGAGATGATGGGCGCAGCGCTTGCGTTTAAAAGTCTCATTAAGCGGAGAGAGCGTGGGGCGCAGACTCAACATGTGGTGCAATGCGTTGTCTGTCGTTATTGCAGCAACAGCAGCTTGGGGCGCTGCAATGCCTAGCGTTGAGTGTGGAGGCCATTTACCAGACTGTAGCGAGTGTCTACGGTTAAACAATGTTCGTGTTGCTTTGGCGCGCACGTGTGATATGCGTATGCTACAAAAAAAAAAAAAAAAAAAAAAAACTAAAAATCTAAAACTTGCGGAAAACGCCGAAATTGCACAAGAATATAGCACGAAAAATGTATGCTTGTATGTGCCAGCTTTTATATTGAGAGCCAGTTTGCTTTGCTAGTCATGGCCGACAATCGAAAATGTTTCCAAACCCATCTGTCTGCTCATAATTGCCGCATTTACACATTTACATGTGTATGTATGCATGTAAGCCAGTCGCGCAAGCAAGGTGTGCCCTCAACAGCGCTGGGAGCGCGGCTACGCAATTGCTGAGTTACACACATACGTGGCGACAAAAGTGAGCACATACAGTGCACAAGGTGAATTAATCTTAAAAAATTTATTCGTATATTGTTTTTTTTTTTGCTTGTACACGAAGTTTTATTGCCGACTGTATGTTGATATTTCTGTATTTTGTCATACTTGGGCGCCACACACTCTTTATGGGTCTTTTAAAATGCCGCAATTATGATGAGAAATAGTAGTTGTTGAAATAATCAAAAGCGGGCCAAACACTTAAGTGAGCGCATTATTTCGATAGAGCGCCGAAATGAGCATAGAGTAAAGTGCCTCGAGAGTATTTCGAAATTTTGCCGATTTGAAATTTATAAGGATTTTTGGGAAATTTTGGAAATACAAGATGTTAAAAAAATTGTAGTCTATTGAAACCATTTTTTTTAATGAAGACACGTTTTAAAGTTACATATTACATGCAGATAATATTTGATTTTTTTGGCTATATGGAAAATTTTTTAAATACAAAATTTTGAAAAATATGAATTTAAAGTTGTTATGAATAAACTTTTGTTAGAAAAAAACATGTTAAGTATACATATTTGATATAGAAAATGTTAGAAATTATTTTTGACAATTTTTTTTGGCTATATGGAAAATTTTTTAAATACAAAATTTTGAAAAATATGAATTTAAAGTTGTTATGAATAAACTTTTGTTAGAAAAAAACATGTTAAGTATACATATTTGATATAGAAAATGTTAGAAATTATTTTTGACAATTTTTTTTGGCTATATGGAAAATTTTTGAAAACGAAAAGGGTGACAAAAATAATTTCAAGATGATGGGGAATAAATTTTTGGTAGTAAAATGATTTTTTTGCTATATGGAATTTTTTTAGTACAGAATTTTTTAAAAATAGAATTAGAACACATAATTTTGTAGAAAAGCATTTTTTTTGAAATTTTTTTGGGTTATATGGAAATTTTTTGAAATGTAAAATGTTGTAAAAATTAAATTAGAATACATTTTCTTGTAGAAAACATTTTTTGAAAATTTTTGAAATACAAAGTATTGTAAAAATGGATTCTAATTCCATTTTCTTGTAGAAAAAAATTTTGGATTGTTTTTGCTATATAAAATTTTTTTGAAATACAAAATGTTAAAAAAAATAAATATAAAATACATTTTCTTGAAGAGTTTCATGAAAATTATTTGTAATACAAAATTAAAAAAAAAAATTGATTAAAAGATAAAAAAAATATTTTTTGCTATAGAATTTCATAAGTTATGCAATAAGTAGATAATATGATCTATACCAATATTATTTTCATTATAAATGCGTAATTTCATCAAATTGCGAAATAGGAAGATAAACAATTAACAAACTCGTCACTTTCCGAAGTTCTCGTATAAAAATATGTCACTCGTGATTAACTAATAATATAATATTAAAAATTATATCTATATTAACGCATAAATACAAAAATTGCAACTTTTTCTGCTTAATTTGATGTTAAATTGTAGATTTTGGAAGAAGTTTCAAAACTCATGCTTTGAAATCACATTGTATTTTACTCACGAAAATTTCATTCTTTGAAATCACATCGTACTTTACTCGCAAACAATTTCAAAATTCGTTCTCTGAAATCACAATCCAACGATTTCCACAAAAACTTCGTACGGAGCGAGCGCACTCACTGTTATGCCATAAATGTTGCCACAGCTTATCCGGTAATTGAAAGAGCCACCCACCAATTTACACAACGGCGAGTATTAGCATTGCCTAGCCTTTAGCCATTCGGCAAAGAGCCATCAAACCGGTCAAAAGTGAACAAGACTTCACCGACAGCTTTTGGCCAGACATTGTAATGCTCATTTGGTGGAGTTGAGACAACATGCAAAGCAACTCAACTCTTTGCCTCGTTTGCAGTCACTTTTGTAACTGCTCAGCGCTCATTTGGCGCTCTGCATAAACTCTGTAATTTCATGAATTACAATTTTAACGTTAATTTTAATTGTTTGCATTGATTTAATGTTGCAATGACTCGGAAAACCAATTTAAAGCAGTACAATTTTATGATTTCAAATTTATAACAATAATATATTACAACAAATATTTTTTTTACACGAATTTTTTTTCATCAAATAATTTTGTTTCAACAAATAATTTTGTTTTCAACATTTTTTTTTTTCAACAAATTTTTTTTAAAAGAATATTTGTTTGTTACAAGTATTTTTTTTACAACAAAAAATTTTTTTCTCAATAAATTAGTTTTTTACAACTAATATTTTTTGAACACAAAAACTGTTGCACAAATCAAAATGCCAAAGCTGTAAAGAAAGAAAACACCGCCAAAAACTAATAAAAAATGTTGCCAACATTACAGCAACAATGTGCCTTGGCATGCCACGCTACTTGTTTGGCCACAAATCATTGTTGCCATGCCGTCGTGTCATGTTTAAGCAACATGCTGACGATGCCGCTGCCTGTGCTATTGCGACAAGAATTTTTGCGCTTGCCCGAGTGCTGCAATTCTTGTTCTAGTTATTAGCGTTGTTGTACACAAGTACTACTCGTTAGCTTTTTATTGCTGCTGTCTAACACCAATAACGCAATCAGTTTGACTTGTTGCCAACGATTTCATATTTTAGCTTTACTATTTTTAACGTCTTGTGCACGTA